TCCTTGGCGATATCGTGACTGTCTTGGGCCAAATTTTTTGTCCATACACATTTAGGAAATATCACACCCAATTCTAAAGGCCATTTCTTAAAAATGTCTTTTTAATTCTGATTGAAATTGTAGCTTAATTAAGCCTCAGAAATGTTAAAATCCTATGGCTAGCTTTCTCCTCCTATTACATAGATCTTCATTGTCTTCCTTTCTGAGGGCCTTGAGCATTCTGCTCTAGCTCTCTCTGTATTATAATGTTAAATTGGATCTTGTTAGCATAACACATTCTCTTGTTGTTTGAACTGATTCTTTTTTTTAAAGAACTATTTTTATTGTAAAGATACTATACAGAGGGGTCACTGTTACATAAGTCAGATAATGAATACCTTTCTTTTTTTCTCCTTTGTTGCTGTTTTTGATTTCTGTATGCTTTGTCTTGTATATGTTTATCTGTTTGTGGAGGGGAAGGGGGAACACAGAAATGGTGGGACAAAGGGTGAACAAATGCAGCAGTGACACTAGACACTGTTGAAAAGGAACTACACAAGTTGTTGCAGAAGGGGGAGGGGGCTTTAAGGAGGAAAAAACTGGGAGAAAATAAGGGAAGAGGTGATTTTTAAATGATTCTTATTTTACTAAATCCTATGACTTTTGAATGTTTTCATTTATTCAGAAAATATTCAGGAAATCAGAGAACAATGGCAACTTTGTGCCTTTCTTTCAAATCATTTCTTTTGCATATCTGGTAGTTCTTGCTAGGACCCCTAGGTTAGTATAGAATAAGAGGCAATAGTACACTTAGTGGTGAAATATTAAAAGCATTTTTAATTTTTAAATTAATTCTTGATTTCATGTAATATGATTTTTGATGGAGACTTCTGCTAAATTCCCATTATTGAAGTAAGGAAGTTTCTCCACAGTTTTAGTTAGATAGAATTTATTATTTATGAATCAGTATTAAACTTTATTAAATGTTTATCTTTACCCATGGAGATAATTGCGTTCATTTTTCTTCTGGCTAATATGTGAATTATGAGATTTTCTAATGTTAAGTCAATGTTATGTTCTTGCATAGATACAAGTTGGTCATGATAAATTATATTTTGAAATTACATTTCTGGATTTGGCTTGCTAATGTTTAACTTAGGATATTTTAACAGTTTTCAGTGTAACTGGTTTTCCTCAACAACCTATCTTGAGCCTTGAGATCATCTTTGAATCATTTTTATTCCTTCTGAAGTACATCTTTTATACATTTTCTAAGGGCTTCCTAGAAAATTCTTGGGGTTTTCTTGTCTGAAATGTACTTCTGTCTATATAATTTTATTTTTGTTTTGTTGAGATAGTGTCTTTCTTTGTAGTCCAGGCTGTCTTCAACCTTAACAATCCAAACTTCCTTTGCCTCCTGTGTGCTGGAGTTACAGACATGTACCACTAGTCTCAGCCTTCTATTTTATTTTAAAGACACTTTTTTTTTTTTGCCAGTCCTGGGGCTTAAACTCAGGATCTGGGTTTTGTACCTAAGCATTTTAGCTTAAAGCTAACATTCTACTATGTGGGGTACAGCTCCATTTTTGGCTTTATAGTGGTTAATTGGAGATAAGAGTCTCAAGGCCTTTCCTGCTCTACCTAACTTCCAAATGCAATCCTCAGATCTCAACTTCCTGAGTAGCTAGGATTACAGGCCTCCAGCTTTTAAGGACATTGTTTTGCTAAATAAATAGATTGACAGTTATTTTCTCTAAGTATTTTGAAGATATTGTTCTGTTGTCCTCTGGCCTTCATTTTTAATGTAATCCAGTTTCAGTGTAATTCTTTCATTGGATACTTAAATTTCTTGATACTGTCAGTGTTTTCACTCTGTTTTAGTGTCTCTTCATGTCATAAATACAGATTTGTTTTTATTTATTTCACTTAGAATTATTTAGGCTTTAAAAATCATCTATCCTGAAATAGAAGAAATCTTAAAAAAAAATCTATCCTGTAAATATGTCCTTTAAATCTACCTCTAAAAACCTATTTTAAAAAATGTAATAGTTGATAAAAATGACATCCATATAAAGTAGTTCACTGTACCATAAGTGGTAACTTACTATTAGTTGAAATTAATTAAAACTTTCTTAACTTACAAGGAAAGGTTTGTATACCCTGGAGAGTTATAAATGAATTAAGATCAATGATAATTATAAAATTCCACAGTAGTGTGGAGTTCATATAGCTAGTAGTTGGGCTTGGTAAGTTTATATCTGGTGGTCCCATAAATTAGAAGAAGGAAAGAAATGCCTAAAGAAAAAAATGACAGTATCAATTTGAGATTCTACTTAAAACTATTATAAAAACCAGCATTACAAAGAATTCTAAAGGAAGGAATACAATCTGAAGAAATCCATCAGAATCAAAGAAACACATCAGATGAAAATCACTAGGAGATCAATTTAGTAAACACAGGAAGAGGAATAAAACAAAATACAGAAAATCAAGAAAATGGTAGGAAACATGACACATCTCTCTATAATAAACCTAACATTAGTGAACTCAATTCTCCAGTCAAAAGAAGAATAGCAGATTGGATCAAAAAACAAGATCCATCTAGAATCTGTTTTTTGTTTGTGGTTATTTTTTTAATTGATTAAAGTTTCCACTAATTATGATATATGTTCTTTAATATACTACCTGTATGTCACATTTATTGAATAAATAAAAGATATTAATCTCTGATCTTAGGTAAAAGAATTGAGATACAGACACTGGCACCATCATAAAGGTTGTCTAGCTAATTTATGATAGAAAATAGCACTATTGCAAAAAAAAAAAAAAAGAAGAAGAAGCACCATCTTAAGCATAGGGCCTTTCTTTTTTCCATAAAAAATCATTATAAGCTGGACACCAGTGGCTCATGCCTGTCAACCAGCTGCTCAGGTGCTTGACATCTGAGGACTGCAGTCCAAAACCAGTTTGGACAGGAAAGTCTGTGACGTGAGACTTTTTTTTTTGTCAGTCGTGGGGTTTGAACTGTGGGTCTGGGCACTGTCCCTCAGCTCTTCAGCTCAAGGCAAGCACTCTACCACCTGAGCCACAGCACCACTCCCACTTTTCTAGTGATTTATTGGAGATAAGAGTCTCAAGGGCTTTCCTGCCTGAGCTGGCTTTGAACTGGGATCCTCAGATCTCAGCCTCCTAAGTAGCTAGGATTACAGGTGTGAGCCACCAGCACCCAGCTGTGAGACTCTTATTTCCAATAAATTACCACAAAGCCAGAAGTGAGCTGTGACTCAAATGGTAGAGCACTAGTTTTGAGCAAAAAAACTCAGAGGCAGCACCCAGGCCCTGAGTTCAAGCCCCAGGACTGACATTAAAAAAAAGTAAATAAAATAAAAATGAAAAACCCTTACATCAACGGAGAGTTATTGTAACTGTGGTAAATTTTTACATGGCTTCAAAAAATTCAATATTGAGAGTCACATAATTATCCAGCCCTAATCAGGGAGCTCTGTTCCAGAAGAACAGAGACCCACATGATGAAACTGATACTTAAGTTCTTTCCTCCTTCCTGCCTCCTCATCTTCTCTTCTTTCACCATTTCTTTCTGTTCCAGTATTTCATTAACCTGTAACTGACAGTCCTGCTGCTGCTATCTGAGCTACCTCAAGGCCCCAAGCTTGCTACAGCCCTCATCTTAACACTCGCGATGCTGGAGAACTGGTGTAGCACTGGGTGAGAACTGGGTAGTTGTGGGAGCTGAAGCAGAGGACACTGCAAGCCTGGGACCCACGGTACTACGAAAGGAGGTAGGATGTCTTTCAATGCTGAAAGATTGTGAGGAAGTCCACAGCCTCCCTCTCTTTGCTAAGCCTCTGGTTCTTCTGCGTTCCCTAGCAACAGAAGCAAAGGATCAATTTGGAAAGGTGTTTTCCAGAGCATTCTATCTAGCTCCTGACCAGACTATTTGAGTTTATGTGATCAAGCAATTGAAATTCAAGGAGATTTGTTACTGACTGCTTGGCAACACTGCTAGAGGAACACCTTCGGCTCTGTGGGCCACCAGTGTGCAAGGACGAATTCCACCTCTATTGCACAAGTGGGGACTGGTTTCACTAAGAATTAGTAGTCTCCCCACCTCACAGGGGACCAACAGTGTTGCTAGGGAAACTGGTAATTATGTGGCAAAACGGAAGGCATAGAATGGAAAAAGCGTTCAGAAGAAATACAAAGTTTAGATCCAAATCAGCATGTTAATAGAACAACTCGCTGATCTTCCGCAGTCATATCGTTTAATAAATACCATTAGCTACAGGTTTGACAAGATATAGCTTTCTAAATGGAAAGAATTGGATAGTAACAGAAAGCTGTGGGTTACTGATTGCATTCTGTGTCACAGCAAGAACACATATTTTTAATAAACTACAATCCATTTTAACACACTCAAAAGGTTTAAAAAAAAGCCCACATTAGTTTGGTTTCTGACCTTTTTTAGAAAAGACATTAATCATATAGTGTCCCAGGTATATAATTCCATATATTCAAATAAAATCATTTTTGGGGGAGCCTCATAGACTAGGTCATTCCTGGGAAGGGAAGAAGAAAGGATTATCACTATTTTTATATCATTCATTGTAAAGCCAACCCAGAGAGGTTAAGTTATCTTCCTGAGGTCACACATTTCCTCAGTTACAGTAGTGTTGTTGCTAAATTGTCCTTTTAGGTGTCCAAAGGCATTTTGGCAATGAATGGATTCAAAAGTCTAGACATGAGTTTCATTTTAATACAGACATTTCCAATACTTTTCATTTTTAATGGCCACAAGGTTGAGATTCTATTAAATGCTTATATGAAGGCATTTAATTTTGATAAGATAAAAGGTAAAAGTCAGACTCCCACTGTGCTAAGACTTTCCTTGTTTCTCAGAATAGGCAGGCATTTTCCACCTTTGAACCTGTCGGTTAGAAAAAGGAGACAAGCCCAAATTACACAGTCTTTAAAAGTTATTTTTGAGGTTGGGTTAAACAAACCTTGACTTAGGCCATCCTGACAAGATGTATGCTCAACCTCCACATTCTCCATGCTGTCTCCTTTACAGACTTCCCCAAGAGATGTTCTTCTCTCAAAGATGTTGTTGTTATTGTTCACTTGAGTCCCATTTTGCTTAAGTAGTCTGAATACCTCAGCTTCCAAATCTCTAATCTAGGGGGGAAAAATCCATTCATGAACTCTTCATCCATCACCCTGCTCCCAGTATTCAAATGGTCTCTCACGGGTAGCTTCGAAAATACAACTCACCCTCACTTGGAGGCCTTGAACTTCCACAATGTGAGCTTTTTCCAGATCTTCTAGTTTCTTCCTTTCTACTTCCTGTCTTTTTAGGAAGTCAAGTTCTCTTAAGAAAGAAATAAAAGATCCGATTGTAATTAATGTGAACATTCTTATCTGGAGCCCTAAAACTGCAAAGTGGGACAGACGGAGGAGCACTAACTCCATTCTGAAAGCTGAGAGCAGAATATAAAGATTTGGGAAATGTTATTATAAAATTATTACATAAAAGAACTGGGTATGATGTCTTTTTGGTGAAAAGTTACAACAGTGATACACTGAATTCACAGTACCAGGGAATAATTTCCTTCTTTTTAACAACAAGGTTTTCATGGCAGTCTCTTTTAAACATTAAAAATATGATTTCCATGCCAGGAAAGAGAGGTATGATGAGTCTGATGCAAAGACATAGCTTCTCAGGCTTGGATGGAAGATTACATTTTATTTTAGCTAGCCAAAAACAAATTGAAACAAAAAAAATCCTAAAAAAACCTCTAGTAAAAACCTTCCTGGTCATTTCCTGTAACATTACACCCAAATGTAAGTGGTAGAAGCAAAGCAGCTGTAGCCCAGAAAAGAGTCGCTGAAAGGCAAATGCTGAGTGTGGTGATGGTGTCATACTATAGTGAACAGCATTTGTGATTTTTTTTTCCCCAACAAATGAGAAATGCAGAGAGGCCGGGGAGGGGGGAGGGGTGTTAGTAGGGAGTTGGCTAGGTCAATATTTACAGGGCATGCACTGAGGGAAGGTCTGCGGTTACTGATCCCATAGACAGACATTGAAGCAGCCTGACCTAGGTTCCAAGTGTTCCTTTGCATATCCCACATCCCATATGAAGGCATTATTTACAGCTTCAATGGGGGCTTCTTGCTCTTCAATCAGAAATGTTCCCAAGTAAAAATAAAGAAATTCAAAGTTTGAATAATAACTATCAATCAAAACACTAGGAGGCAAATATTAGGGGTTAGTATGCAGTGTTAGAAGTTTGTATACAAACCCTACTCTCGTGTAAAAAACTGACAAAGTAATTTCCAAAAGATAATCACTAAGTCCAGAATTAGTGATGAGTTCTGAAAGAGAAAATCCTGAGATCATCTTTTTCATGCCACTAAATGTGACGGAGCATTTGGATATAAAATCTTCATTGGACACACATAAAACTATTCTTTAATACAGAAGCTGCTTACTTTTGTTGAAAATCCTTGATCAGTTTCTTTGCCTTGTTGTATTTCTTTTCTAAGGCCTGATACTGGCTTTGAGTCTCTTTGAGATGCTCATTCACTGTGTGGCATAATGTTTGAGCCTCGATCCAGTAGCTCTCCAGCTTCAGCATTCTTTCTTTATTCTCTTCTATGTTCTGCTGGAGCTGGTTTTTTTCAAGTTCCCACCTTACTTTTTCATTCTCTGCTGCTTGCAGCTGGAGAAAGTAAATGGAAAGACAAGAGGACTTGGTTATTGCATATTTTTGGTCAAATCACATTGCTACGTATACTCAATCATAAAACACCTGAGATGAGAAAAGCAGTTATTATTTTTCATAATCCCATAGAGGAGAAAATGGAAGTCTTGAAAAATAATAAAATACAGATTTGTTACCAACTCCCACGAACTCTCCTTTAAGCCATACTAGTTGGATTTCTGTAAGTAGAAAAGGGCATTTTTGAGTTTGGTTATATCTGTTGACTGTCAAGCCATTTTCTTTTTTTTTTTGTAAATATAAAATTATATAAAAACTTTAACTAGGAAAGAAGCAGGAGAAGGCCAATGAAGAGAGGCAGAACCAATGTGGTGTACGGTTAAGAAGGTTCTGTCAAGTCAATCAGCTTAGATTTGAACCCACTTTTGCCATTTCTGTCCATTAAAACTTGAGCAAGTAATGGAGTTGCTCTCATAGTCAATGATATCATTCATACAACAGACTTGTGAGAGGAGACTAGTATGCTTGGAATAGCTCCTCCGACTAGTATTTGTGACTGGTTTGCTATGATAACTTTGCTTTTTTAATCTTTTGATAGTATTACTATGTTGTTTATTTCAATTTATACGAATATAGTCTGTAGTTGATTATACCAGAGACAGTGTGATAAATTCCTAGATCTTTATGAGCTCCAATTCATGTAAGAGTACAAAAGGGAATTATCAGCAAAACTACAAATTAGTAACAGAAAGGCTGTCTACAGTTTCTGTTTCCAAGTATCTTTCAAAATACCTGCCACCCTGGCCCAACATCCTCAGTTTGATGGACATTTAACAAGGATCATTGAAGTGGGAGCTAAAAGTCACTTATGAGCACCACCACTCTGGTCTCCAAACTAGTGCTCTATTTTCTTCTTGGGTCTTCTTTAAAGTTAAAAAATATAGTCATTATAAACTATCTCTTCAAAATTAAGACATTCCAAAATCAGATAGCATTTAGAGAATGGAAACATATATTTACATATGTACATATATATTTATATGTAAGACATGTATACTTTCTGTGTAAAATTTAACTGAATACATTTGTTAAATGGATTACAAATTTTAAAAGTAACCCACACTACTCCCAAATCAGAAATTCTATTACTAATATCAACAGTAAACATTGTCAGTTAATATGTAGCTATCATATACCAATGTAACAGTAAAAAATGGTAATTATCATGTTTTCTAAATTAACCACTTATAATCTTACACTAAGCTTTGTTAAAGCCTTTAAGCTCACAGAATCTTTTTCCTCTAATTATAAACAACAATTTTAAAAGTGCCTTCTACTTTTCTGTCAAGAAACTATTTCAATTTAAAATAGGACCATTTTTCCTGCGTCTTTTATTAAATAATACTTTGTATTTTATTAAATATACTTTGTTGTTTATTTACCAACCACTACTAATTTAAAAAATTGCTATTCACAGTGCTGGGCTGACACCATGAATGATGTATAGACATGTTTTGACTAAAGAGCTCTGGAGTATATTAGCTAAGAATATCATTTAGCCAAAACAGCCTTGCTAATTCACCTCAATTTAAAACACATGGAAAAATCAAAACAATCATTCAATGTGATTAAGGAAACAAATAATTAGTGGTGGGAATAATTATGTCTTAATTTTCAAAAGATCAGAGAAACAATAAAGAATATTATTTAAAGTTATTCCAAAGATATTCTTAAACTTTTGAAATGATTTTTTTTGCCAAAACTAAAAACAATTGCTAGGACTGTGTCTCATCCAAGTGCCTTGTAACCTGTCAATCAAAAATGTCCTGTTGAATCTTGTATTATTTCACATATAGACTAAAAATATATGCTGCTTCTTATCAAAATTTTTCCTCCCTACCAATCTAAAAACCTGAACTAAAGTTGCCTAAAAACTTAGTGTAAGACCTGGCACCTAAAATCAGTTATGCAATATATCATGTTAAGTTTATAATTCTTAGAAACTATCTTTTATCAGAAATAGTGCTGTATATTAAATAGTATGTTTCTGATGAATAAGCTAAAATGAATATGTGATTAAATCTACTTATAATAAGGTAAACAAAAAGAAGGTAAGATGTATCAGGTGACTCTTAAAGAATTAGTGACTCTAATATACTTCAGAGAACTACTGCAAAAAGTGCTTCTTGAAGAAATCTTGAGTAAACTGACCACATATGTGCGTGCTGAGTGCAGACATGTTTTGTTCCCTAAGGATATATCCATGTATGCACTAACAGTGGAAATGACCTGGTCACATCTTTGTTCTCTCATGTGCACAGGAACAAACCCATTAGCCATAGGGCTGGATTCATTCACAGTAGATGAATTCTGAACACAATTCAAGTACCATGTATTGGGGCTTACCTTGCTCTTCAATTTTTGAATCTCTGCTTCTGTAACTGCATGTTTGATTTGCAACTGAAAAATTGAAAAGAAAAAAATCTCAAGTACTATGTTTTAAAATCTTCATCATCTGGGAGAATACCTTATTTCATAGTAAAATGCCTGGCAAAAAGTTCTGCAGAGCAGCAAGTTGTAAATGAAACGTCTAGTGTGTTAAAAAGGAATCACAGGCTGCAAACTAATTAAACACAGGGTTTATGGCTCATACTCCTAACAAAAGATTAGGTTACCAATTTAATTGCTCAGGGGCCAAAAAGAAGAAAACACATTTCTTGTATTCTTTGCAGCTCTTCCTTTATGATTTGAGTGTCCAGATACTGTTTCTTTGCTGAGCCTAGCTGGCTGAAATGCTTAAAGCCATTAAGTCAGTCGGTGGGAGACAAAATGAACATTCAATTCCACATCTGGAAGAAAGGTGGCGCTGTGGATCTGCGAGTCGCTCGCACATCTTGACCAGCAAGCAGCTCAGCGGCAAAGCGGGAAAGAGGATACGAGATTTATATATAGATATATTTTTTTTTACGTTGAAATTTTAGATTGTTTTTCATTTTTTAATTTATTGTAGGAAAGCTATAGATTCAGACTCATGTCTTCCAAAATACCTACTTGCATTGGAGATTTAGACCCAAAAAAGCTTGAATCGCCATATGTTTGCTTTGGCTTGCCCCTCCCCCACATTTTCTCCATAAGGGAAGAACAATCAATGAATCATTCATTTCCTTAAGGGATAAATAAACATCCTCCAATTTAAGGAAAATAATCTGTATGCTGACAATTTCTTCTCTGAACTCCCCAGAGCCGGATGACTCTGGAATGCAGATTTTATTTATTTATTTGCCTATTTTGAAGCATGTGCAATTTCCATCAATTGCAACTACCCAAAGCAGATCTGCAAAAGCCTCTGCAGACTTGAATGTTTTTGCCTTTATGCATATGAATACTGCCCCTAAGTGTGGCACAGAAAGACTATAAACAGCATCCCATCACTTTGGTCAGGCTGTGCCACTAAATTGATTTGCCGTAAACTTTTTAAGTTCTTACTCAGAGCACTTTGGATTTAGAACTGTATGAGAAGTATTATAAAGTTGTGCTACCACTATAATCAAGTAAGTCTACAAAGTGTTGTTTTTTTTGTTTTCCCAGAAGCAGAGTGAGGAATCTGCTGGCTGAGGAATGAATGAAATGGGGAATGCTTAGAACCTCCGGAGCACCCCATAAACTCAGCTCTCTTCTGTATACTTCTTTGTCTCTATGAGGGAAAGAGGGAAGAATCCAGGATAGGTCGATTCAGCACTCAACTGTAGGTGTTGGTGGCCCAGACCCGAGCTCCAGATGCCTGGCCCAGTGCTCCCTCTTCTTGCCTTCTGTTCTCCTCCTGCTTTGGAGACCATGCAGTCTGCTTGGCCTCCACTCTGCTGCTGAGGGTGACACTGAAATTACTATAAACCGGGCTGTGTCTGTTTCTATGGCTTTTCTCACTTTCAGTTTTTGGGACCTGGTTATTCTGGACATCTTGCTAAGGTCCCTATTACTCCATCATCACTGGATCCTGAGGCTTCTGGGGTGCTAATAATAGTCTCTAGGCCAGAGGCCTCACCCTCTTAGTTTCTTTCTGACTGTCCCCTTTTTGGAAGTACAGGGTTTTGAACTTAAGGCCTTGCTCTTGCTAGGCAAGTGTCCTACCCCTTGAGCCAGGTTCAGGTCCTCTTTTTAAAGTTACTTTTCAATAACTGGGGTTTATGCCCAAGTTGACCCAGATTCTTATTTATACTGAGTAGCTGGGGTAACAGGAATACATACCATGCTCAGCTTTTATTGGTTGAGAAGTGAGTCTTACACACTTTTTGCCCAAGTTGTCCTTGAGTTATTAGGAGGTTTTTGTCTACTGTGTGCTAAGTGTGTAGAGTTCCTGAACTTTCTTTTGCTCAGACTGAATAAACTCATCTCAATTTACCATGTGCTAGTGATTGCATGAGCAACTGAGCCTGGTGCATCCTAGTTTCTTACCACAGTCCTGGGGTACAGGCTCATTCACGCACCTTTAGCAGATGTTCATAGTGCTAGTTTCCAGAAAGGCACCTATCACTACCTTCCTTCATGACTAAAAATAGAGTAAGATACAAAAGACATGGCAGTGTTGCTCTAAAATCCCACAAAATTCTCTTGCACCTAATTGAAGAGGTGTGTGCCTATTCAAAGCCCTAGTATAGATGTGTCTTTTCCGAGTCTGACAATGCCAGGCCATCTAGCTGGGTAAGTCTGATGTCCAGTGAGTCCAACTGTAGTCCCCTAATGAGCATACTAATACAAATGCTGGACTCATTCCAGACATGGGAACACTGGGGTTCAGAGAAGTCAACAGACTTGGTCCATTTTCCCCAGTGAAGCACCATTAAAACTAGGACTAGAACCCAGATGTCTTGGTTCTGATCCAAAGCCATTTTCCTTAGGAAAAAAGGATGAACTTAACAGGCACTTAAGGATGAGCTGCTATGTGAAAGAGGAACATAGTATCCCTAATAAGTATCAGGCCAATATAAATGCATAAAATAAAAACATTTATAGACATAATTATATAAGGTGAATAGACACACACATGGAATTATTTTCCAGGGAGACACTAGCTCCATGCAAACATGCCAGGGCACCCAGAAAATCCATTCCCATAGATATCTCTACTGACAGGAACTGCTGCAAGTAGTTTTTTTTTTCTATGTGCCAAGTGGGCAGAGTTACTGAACTTTCTTTTGCTCAGACTGAATGAACTCATCTCAACTTACCATGCACTAACTTCCCTTATACTCTCTTTCCTCGCCTATAAAATGCTATGTCTCACAGTTTATAACATTCCTTATTTGAAGGTTAAATGAGAAATCTGTGTAAACCATTGGCTAACACAGAATAATTCCTCAATGTAGTTAGTCAGGATCTCACACACGCACACACAAAGTATCTAACAAACTAACGTATGATTATCCAATTTTCCCTCCCAGTTAAAAGTGCTGAATGATGTAAAATGTCACACCTGAAATAAAACTCATACCCTGATTTTATTTGAAGGGGAGCATAAAATCCAAAGGCCATTTTTTTTACAGTGAACTTTGCACTGTGGACAAATGCCAGGCCTTATTTTCTTGGTCATTAACTCCCAGGAGGGTACCACGTCTATAGCCTGTAACTTTCTTTTGCTCAGGTCACTGTGACCTCAGTAAATTGTTTCTCTAGGCTGGAGGAGAGAAACTATGAGGTGGTTCCTGTCCTACAAGTGTGATACTTGTGAAACAATGAGCCCCGAGGAAGTTGTCATTGTTTCAGTGTGTGGATATTCTCATCATAAATATATAAATAAGAAAGTGAAATAAAAATGCAAAGGAGCCTATCCCCTCAGATAGCTACATCATTGGTGAGGCAAGGAGAAAGAAGGAAGGAAAATGCTCCTGGATATCTCAATTAGCCTTCTGTCCTCTAGGGAGTGGATCATTGCTTTGTTCTCTTTGTTGTCTCTCAGATCCAATTGTGGGTCCAAGCATCCAGAAAAATAGGCAAGATTGGTGTGAGATACCTCCAACTCATAAAAGGCAAACTTTACCCAAGAGTGGCTTCCCCCAAAGAGGTCAGTGTCTCTGAATACACAAGACCAATCTCTTTCATCTTCTTTGACATCTTTAACGTATATGACACAGACACCTATCCCAGAATCTTAGCTGAAATAATCCTATGATTCTTAGATTTATCATTCTGTATGATTACTTGTTTTTTTACATTTTCTATTTATTTCTTTGAAAAAGATGAATATGAAGCATGAATGCATATGACTGAATCAGTATAACACAAATATAACTACTAGAAACAACTTTATAACAGAAATATACATATCAAATACATATGTATAAATATACATATTTATAAATAAATAAATATATATAAATATACATATCAGCTTGAACTTTTGCCTCCCTCTGATTATCCTGGCCAAGCATGGAAAACATTTTTTAAGCGAAACACATCTTAATAGGAGAGATTTAAGAGGATTCTGGTATCTTCTCTCCCTCTTTTTCAGCTTATACTAGAGTTTGAACTTAGGACCTGGGTACTATCCTTGAAATTCTTTGTCCAACATGGTGCAGCACTATGCCACAAGCCAGAGCTCTATTTGAGGAAGTTTTTTAAAATTTATTTTAGGACCTTTTTTTTTTTTTTCCGGTCATGGGGCCTGAACTCTGGGCCTGGGCGCTGTCCCTCAGCTCTTCAGCTCAAGGCTAGTGCTCTACCACTTGAGCCACAGTGCCACTTCCGGCTTTTTTTTCTTTTTGCTTATGTGGTGCTGAGGAATCGAATCCAGGTACTCATGCATGCAAGGCAAGCGCTCTACCACTGAGCCACCTTCCCAGCCCTAATTTATTTTGGGTGTTTTTTTTTTGTGGTTAATTGGAGATAAGATTCTTGCTATCTTTTTTTGTCTAGGAGGCTCAGCTTCTCAGCCTCATGAGTAGCTAGGCATGAGCTATCAGCACTCAGCTGGCATCAGAAATTTTATAATCAGGTAAGTATAACATTCTCTGTGCTGTCTTTGCAAAGGCAACAAGAATTTCATTTGGATAGAACTTTCTAAGAAGGTTTCAGGATCAGAATTTCACAATTATTTTTGTGAATATTGCAGTGATGTCTGTTTGGCCCACCCAGTGTAAAAGCTGCACAAATGATAGAAATGAAGCTGCGTTGGCTGACATACCAGGGCTGCTAAAATGGAGCCCTGATTTTCCCCATGTCACTTGTGCCCAAAGATTGATACATGTTTACATTAAGTTGAAGAGATAGCATATGCAAAATCTCTGAAAGAGGCTGGTTGAGTTTCGCCATAGTCTAGTCCTGATGACATCACCAAGGGCAGCATTTGCCACTCAGGGTGATGGGGCTTCTTTACCACAAGGATACTTAAGCACAGTACTGTGAAACTAATGCTTAATGATGAACATATGAACATGATGGATGTTCATAGCCTGTGATTTTTTTTT